GGGGGCCCTTTGATCCCCGGGCCGGGGGGGAAGGGGCCACCCTGCCCCTCTGCGCCAGACTCTGCCGACACGCCCATGCCGTGGGGGGCCTGCGCTGTCACCCGGGGCCCCCGCGCTGCGATTCCCACGGACTCCCCCACGTGCATTGGCCAGACCCCTGGGCCCAGCCTGGGCGGAGAACAAGGCTCTTCCCAGTCCCCATGGGGGGCAGAGACAAAGGGGGGGGAGACTGACACCTGGCTGGGGGCAGGGCTGGGAGCTGGGCCGTCTCCGGCTGGGAAACATGAAGGGAACAGACTAAGCTGGGTGCTGGGGGGCGATGGACCCACCCCAAGGGGGCTGAGGCTCCTGGCCCCACATCGCCTGTGCGGGGCTGTGTCCTGGAGGAGCAATGACCCCCCCCGTTCTACTGGCTGGCGCAGTCTGGTCTGGCTGCTCCGGGGGGCAGGATCGGGGGGTCCCCGACGCACCACCACAAATGCACATTGGAAAAAATAACCCCAGCTCTACATACACTATGACGGGGACGAATTTCGCTCCAGCTGCTGGAGATCTTGGAGTCAGCGTGGAGAGTTCTCTGAAAACACCCCCCGTGCAAACAGAATCAATACGAACGGGTGGAGAATAGGATGGAGATTGTCTCTCTGTCTCTGTAAAACCAGAGGGTGCCCACAGCTTGAACACTGCGGGCAGACGTGGTCACCTCATCTCTACAAAGAGACCCTGGCATTGGAGAAGGTTCGGGTAAGGAGAACAGAAATAGAACGGCTGCCATATGAGGAGAGACGCGTAAGACGGGGCCTTTTCAGTGTGGAGAAGAGGAGACTAGGGAGATATGAGAGAGGTCTAGACAATCATGAGTGGTGTGGAGAAAGGGAATAAGGAAAAGATATTGACTTGTTCCTATAACTTAAGAACTAGGAATGAATAGGCAGCAGGTTTAAAACAAACCAAAGGAAGTTTTTCTTCATGCAGTGTAGGCAACCTGTGGAACTCCTCGCCAGAGGATGTGGTGAAGACCAGGGCTTTCACAGGGTTGAAAAGAGAGCCAGCTCCATGCATGGAGGACAGGCCCATCGATGGCGATTAGCCAGGCTGGGCAGGGCTGGTGTCAGGCAGGAGAGGGATCCCATGGGCACTGCGCATGACGGCTCTTTGGTCTGACCCCGTCCTGGGCAAGGCAGAGCAGGCTGGGGCAGGGTTAGGCACAGAGCGAGTTGGGGGGGCAGATGATGGGAGCTCCCCGTGCTCAGGCCCTGCCCCCTGGGGCGGGGCAATTGCTGGCTCCCAGCCTGCGGCCGCCCCACACAACAGGCAGCCCATGCAGGGCCTTGCAGCCCAGCCACAGTGGGCGGAGCTTACCTGTGAAGAGACAGCTGCCTTCTCCAATGGGAACCTTCCTCACCAGCAGGTAGGCGGAGCTGGGCTCCGGCAGCTTGCACCACTGCAGAGCCTGCTCCAAGACCCTCTCCTTGGGGTGCAGGGGCCGCTCTGGGAGGGGAGACGAGGCCGCTTGC